TGCTTATAAAAATATAGCAAAAAATGATTCAGCGTTGGGGTTTGAACCCAGCGCCTTTGAGCTAAGTCGCACGCGTCCTAACCAGCTGAACCTCAATGACATTGTTGCATGTTTCTCGAAACAATTATACTTGTTTTATTTCAAACGCCAAGATCTATAGGGTAACAGCTCCGCGCTAAGATCTACAGTGCCGAGCTCGGTGCCAAGATCTATGGCGCCGAGGCCTTGTCCACGTTGGCGCCAGGTCACCGCCACGTCCAACGCCTCGCTAAGACCTCGGCGCCATTGGTCATGGCGCCGAGACGTGTTTCTTCGACACCAAAAGCCATGGTGCCGAGGTCAGGGTCTTTAAACGAAAGTCAAACCATCAGGGATCTATTTATGAATATTTTTCTAAAAAGGTCTGAAAAATAAAAAATTCGGCTGCAGGTGTCACGACTCACGACAGTGTCACACTCAAACAGCTCATTTTCGCCGCTAGAGAAATAGCCCTCGCGTTCCATTGTTCCAACCCGATAGGCGCGGGGAGACCGGCCGCTCCCGGTGGCACGCCCAGCCTGGTCTGGCCGCAGAGCCACATGCCTGCGCGGGGGTGTATATATACCACCTCCATGGCATCTCTTCCTCACCACCGCATCTCACACCCCTGAGCTTAGCTTAGCTCCACTCCAGCTCCAAGCACACAGTCGTGGTTAGAGCTAGAGGGCCGTGAAAATGCCGATCAGCAGGATCGCCGTGGGGACCCACCATGAGGTGTACCACCCGGGCGCCCTCAAGGCGGCGTTCGCTGAGTTCATCTCCACCCTCATCTTCGTCTTCGCCGGCCAGGGCTCCGGCATGGCCTTCAGTGAGTCCTCCGCTCCTACTCTTGCAACACAAGCTCGATCGGCCCTCATCTGGCCTTCAGTAGTTTGTATTTTTTTCACTTTCCACTGACTGACAAAACATGGAGTATTATTAGATGAACATAAAACGAGCAGGTAGCAAGCCTGTACAGTACATGAGTACTTAATTAAGCTCAGCTTAATCTGTCATGCTCTAGCACAAGTCGTGGTCGGCTCCTTGAGTTCGTCACTGAAATGAAGGGAAAAAAGAAAAGTCCTTTTCGTCATAAGTACTAGCTATCAGGCTTTCGGTAGATTTTTCTAATACAAGGCCAGTGTTAACTAGCTAGGAGCTCACAGAAATGTCTTTTTAAAAAAAGTCAAAAATGAGGAAAGCGAGGTCTTTTAGCTGAAATGACTAATGCAAATGACAGATTTAGGCCTGTCATGATTTTAGAGCTGCAGAAGATAGGAATCCTTGGCAGCATCTGTAGTACCTTCTATTCGAGTTGCTATTTGTGATGCATGTTCGCTTGAGCTTATTCAGCACTATTTTTCAGCCATAGAACAATATTTTCTTCTCGCAACATTTCAGCATAAGTATCAGCATAAGCCAAACTTCAGCATAAGCTCCCCAGAACTAGCAAAATGCCCCACCAGCCCACCTCCACTGACACGAACGCCTCCTGTATCCTGGAAAAGGAACATGCAGTAGTTTTGTTTAATGACATCAGGAAAAGGAGAATATTACAGACAGGCCAGTAAATATCAGACAGTGCTTAATACTAGTTCAAACTGATCCGGTTAACTGACAAAAACCCGCATAAACCCCCATCTTTATACCTGGATGAATCTCCTTTTAATTAGGTAGCGCGGTGTTGAACAAATCTGTTTTATCAACATGCTAATGCTACTGGCTAGGACTAGTAAACATGTTCAGATACTGTTGAGTAGTTAAAGACTCAACAGTAGCAGTAAAATCACAGTTGTAAAGCAGAAGGCCGGGAAAAAAAAATCCTGAACATGTTTTTACCTACAGTAGTACTTGTCAGTATCTGAGTGTGGACGACGAAACACCTGATGAGATTTGACTGTGTTAGTTTTACTGATTCCCTGCTGGTGCTCCCCCTCGCGCAGGCAAACTGACCAGCGGCGGCGCGACGACCCCCTCGGGCCTGATCGCGGCGGCGGTGGCGCACGCCTTCGCGCTGTTCGTGGCGGTGTCCGTGAGCGCGAACATCTCCGGCGGGCACGTGAACCCTGCCGTGACCTTCGGCGCGTTCGTGGGCGGCAACATCACCCTGTTCCGCGGCCTCCTGTACTGGGTGGCCCAGCTGCTGGGCTCCACGGTGGCGTGCTTCCTGCTCCGCTTCTCCACGGGCGGGCTGGCCACGGGCACCTTCGGCCTCACGGGCGTCTCCGTGTGGGAGGCGCTGGTGCTGGAGATCGTGATGACGTTCGGGCTGGTGTACACGGTGTACGCCACCGCCGTGGACCCCAAGAAGGGCAGCCTGGGCACCATCGCCCCCATCGCCATCGGCTTCATCGTGGGCGCCAACATCCTGGTCGGCGGCGCCTTCACCGGCGCGTCCATGAACCCCGCCGTGTCCTTCGGCCCCGCGCTCGTCAGCTGGGAGTGGGGATACCAGTGGGTGTACTGGGTCGGCCCACTCATCGGCGCCGGCATCGCTGGCGTCGTCTACGAGCTGCTCTTCATCTCCCACACCCACGAGCAGCTCCCCACCACCGACTACTAAGCCGGCCGGTGGCGAGCCCCCCAAGCTTGGGTTCCGTCCCCTCGGCGTTTAGTTTCTCTCGTGCACGTGCATGCATCGTCGAACATCTCAAGCTGCTGCTGCTGCGCCGGCGCCGCTCGCATCGTTTGCTTTCTTGGACCAGTCTGTAACCGTGAATTCCGGACCCGTTTGCTTCTGTGAAATTTGTGCATTTGCCTGAGTATTCACCGAGTCCCACGTAGTAGCTCTCTATATAATACCATGTGCTTGAAAATCTGGGATGCTTGTGCTCGGATCGCGATGATTTCGACGGGAATCGCCGTCTCGTCGTGGCGTGCAGCGCAATAATGCAGCGCCATGTGCGGACGAGCGGGATGGTACGCGCGCCACGTCGGAATGGTGTGGCAGAGCGATAAGGCTGACCTGTAGCTGTCGGCTGAACGTGGACCAGCTCGTGTTGCATGCATCATAGAGTATTCATATCCATCGCGATGCGGAGCCTCGTGCAGTACGTCCTCCGGACCTGCTCGATCGCTCGTACCCGTGCTCATGAAATGGCGACCGATCGATAGCAAGTGGCGGTGCCAGTAGGTATAAATGCGCTGTGGGCACCGATGGTCCTCCATGGACGGCATCTACTCCCGAGTAGTAGAAGCTACAGTATGGGTGGTTGGCAACTTCAACTTGACAAAGGCAATGTCGTCATTGCTATGATCCGATCAATCAGAAAGAAACGGTAACAGATGCTCTTCACGGTCGATGACCAAGCTAGTACAGAGCCATGTTCATGCTACACGTAGCAATAGCGTGCACTCCCTAGTGTATCCTGTAACATGAGTATACGCTGTGGTCAGTACGTGTTGGTGGTTGCAAGCTACTGAAACTAGTTCAACCAGCAGCAAGCCAAGCAACAACTCCCATCAACAGAATGACGACGGTGGATTTGACGCAGCGGGTCGTCCTCCGCGGAATATGCCTCTCGGGCGGGCTCCTACAAAGGCAGGTACGCAGCGCGGCGCCGAGCATGCGTCCGGACTCCGGACTCTTCTGCCAGCTTGACGCTCCCCGGCCGGCAGGCCCACCACTAACTCTGAGACAGACAAGCGCAGATACCGCACCGCACGTCGCCGATCGCCGATCGGTGACCGGACACCTTCTCTTATCTTCTTCTATCCTTTATTAATCCCATAATCCGAATCTCCTAAGGGCCCGTTCGTTAGGCCGGGAAAAGAGTCAGGAAACGTGCCGGCTGCTGCACAAAGCTTACACAAATTAAACACCCGATCCTGGCCGGATGACATCCTGGTCACGGTTCCCAGGAACCGATCAGGCCCTAAGTCCTAACCAGCGTTTATTCCCTGGATGTTATTCGAGTCCTAACCACTGATGGATGGAACAGAGGCTATACCCTTTGGGATATTTTTGTAAGCGATTGGACCACCCCAGGGACCAGGCAAGTCGCTGTCTGCTTAGCCTAGCCACTTTCGTCTCAAGCCGTCCTTGCCCGGGCTACCTTACCACTCGATCGAGACGCGCTCAAATCAATCGGTTGGCGTGTTGGGTACTCCCTCCCTCTTGAAAAAAAAAACCGTAATTATAGCTTTGAACCTGGACATGAGAGTACATCCTTTTTGCTTAATCTCTGGACTCTTCCTGACTTAACTGTGCTAGTCGTTCTAGGGGCCATATGTATTGCTTTCCGTCGGCAATTATATGATGTGATTGTTGGCAAATGAGGTTGATTAGGATGAGCGATCACGCATTCACGCATCACGCAAGTAGAGGAAACGAGAAATGCTGCCGCCAGGAGAGCAGTAGAGGAAACGAGTGGCTGCGGCCTCGGCCACGGGTCGCTCTTGTTGGCAAAACAGGATCACAATCACACAACCATATAAGTGACTAACCTAAGCAATCGAAGATCAAAGTGAAAACGCGAAGTAGAAACGATGAACACCCCGTGAACCCACGGTAACCGCCAGGGAGACAGTGCCCCTTTCACTATGGATAGTCTCAAGTACAATGATGGATACAATGTGCCAAAGGCGCTAACACACACCTTGACGCTTCCACTACTTAACCCAGTAGCTGGTTTGTCTAACACTCACACCGAAACTGACAAACACACGCGATACAACTAACTCCACACAGACATGCTCTGGACGTGGACACCACAGCAACCGCTATTCCCGCCGCGTCCCTTCTAATTCAAACGCGCCAAACTTCAACTCCCCACTTCGGCTCAGCTCCAGCTTCACTGACCTCTGGATTACATCAACAGCTCTCGTGTGGGCGGCGCTGGCTGATTTGCTCGCATGCACCGGTCGGCCGGCCGGCCGCCCCCGTCGCGGTCATCTGGCCCATCGATCACTCGATCCTGTTGTTGTTTCGCTGCGAAAGAAGGGATCGGTCTCGCTGCTGCACAGCAGCGTCGCGCATGGGCATGGCGGCCCGGCCGAACCGCGACCTCGCCACTGATGAAAGTATAGAACCCAACGATAGTGCATCCTTGTATCACACGCCCGTGAGTGCCGCCTTGGATCGATTTGTCACTGGAAACACCAAGTGGCCAAGAAGCACAGGCACTCGATCGAGCTTAGGAGTATATTGCATTGACCGAGCGATGAGGACGTACAACGCCATCCTTATTTGGCTGGCGACAAGCCTACGCAACGTTGGACCAGTCAGGCAGTGACTTGCAATGGATGTCGATAGTGTTCTTGTCCTGCATTCAGTACGTTTCCCCGATCTGTTTACCAAGGCATGAAGGATATTATTATATATGTGCCGACCGGAGACGATCATGATCCATATATCTAACAGGTGAATCACGAATTTATGATGCTGCAGGCCACGGAATTCACATGGATATGCCTGTTTATAGGCCGGCAGCTTTGTTCCCTGTAGCATTTCCCTATGTTTATGGGTGGGTATGTTTGGAACAGACAAATGCAAAACAGAGTAAACGAAGAAAACATAGAAATAGTAAACGAGTGTTATCAAAGAATTTTTTAAAAAAACACAGGAATCTTAAAGGAATAGGTGTTTCTAGAATACAGGAATATAATAAGTACATTACATGTTTATTACTCCGTTCTTGTGAATAAAGACCTGTCCATCTCTTCATTCATGCGTTGAAATTTTTTACAAGAGCACGAAGTGGATGTTTTATTATTTCCTCCATTGCGTATAGAAAAGCTAGGCTTTCCATAGAAAAGAAAAACTTCATTCCTCTAATCTAGACAAGCCATGAATTAGTGAAAATAATATATATTCTCTCGGTTCTAAATTATAAATCAGCGGAAGGCCCAACCGGCGTTAGGGTTTCGCCGACCTGGTGCTCTCCGAGGCGCCGCCGCCACCGGCGGCGGCAGCCTCTCAGACGCCGACGGCCCCCTCCTGCTCCCGCTCCCCCTCCCCCTCCCCCTCTGGCCCCCCTCCTCGTTCCAACCCCGAACCTCACCATTTGAGCGCCACTGCTGGCCATGGTGGGCTCTCCGTGCAGGCACCGGCCATGATGGTCGCCTCGACGCCGTCGGCACCGACCTCCCCGCAGCCTCAGCTGGAGAGCTCCGGCACTGGGGCGCAGCCGCCGCCCTCCCCGCCCACGAAGCCGCCGTCCGCGGGATCTTGCGCTGGACAGCCTGCGCGAGGCATGCCCACGCCGCCGTCGGCGCTGGGCTCGGCCGCCGCGGCCATCGACGCCAGCAGCAGCGCCGCCGCGGGATCCAGCGCAAGGGCGCCTCCACGGCTTTTCCCGATGCCCTTGCCGACGATGACGCAAGGGACCGCCAACGCGGAGCGTGCGGCTCAATCGCCGCCACCGCCCATCGAGGTCCTCGGGGAGACCATCAGCACGATGTTGCCGCCGCCGCGGCCACCTCCTCCACCGGCACACATTCGCCAGCCGTGGCCAGCCCGCCCCCGTGCGTGGGGGCCAGATTAGCGTCAAACGGCGACCCATCGAGCCCAACACCAAAGTCGTCGGCCTGGCGACCGCAGGCAGCCACGGCGCCGCCGGACTCCCCCAACCCGACCTCCCCCAGCCCGCCAGCCGCCGCCCCGGCATCGGCGGGCACCCAGCTGCCCTTGACCTCCTCCACAGGTACGGGCCCAGCCACCCTCTCCCCCAACGCCACCCCTTTCTTCCCCACCGGGACCCCAAGGTGCTCCAAGGCCATGAGATGGTCTGAGGAGTCCGACCTCTCCGACTATGACAACGACGCCGACGCCGACGCCAAGTCCGCGCCACCATCTCGGGGGTCCTACCTCGATGCCGTACGCTGGGGCTCTCCGGTACAGGCATGCCTGGAGGCAGGGACCAGTACCCAGCCACACACCTGTATCGTCGAGGAGTCACCGCCGCCGGACCTCGATGCCGTTCGGCGGGAGCCGCAGCTACGGTCGTCGCCGTTGCTGGAGCATGCGCCGACACGCTCCGCCATTGCCAGGGGCACGCGTAATGGGGCCGCCATCAGGTCACGGCCCGGGAGACGGGGCCACGCCCATAGCTCGTCCACGGGCTTCCTGTTCGAGGCCGGGACAACGGCAGCAGGACCGATCGGGATGCTCGCGTTCGTGCACAGCGTTGGCCGGTTCATCGGAGGCCAGGACCTCAGCTTGCTTGCGGTGGCCGGCAACTCTTCTCCGCTCCTGACGCCGACGGTTGGCGCGAGGTCCTTTCACGAGGGCCGTCGGGAGGTCGTGATGAGGCTCCACCGCCGCGTCCCATGCTCCGTTTCCAGCAGAGCTGCAAGGGAAATGCCTCAATTGCCTCTCCACCTCGCACAGGGTGGCGACCTGCAGGCTGCCTCAACGCTGCCTGCGTTGCAGGGGCTTCCGCCACCACGCGTGTGATTGCAAGCGGCCGCGGAGGCCGAGTTTGGAAAGGAACGGCATACCTCGCTCTCACGCCGCTACACCGGGCTTGGGCACAGAGGGAGGTACGCCGGGCCCGGGCGAAGCCGTGCCGGGCACGGATGGGCGCTGCGGCGAAGGACGGCGACACCGACGTCGTCGACGCCGACGGCGGCGACGAAGGAGCCACGGCCGTTCTGTCGGGGCCGCTCCAGCAGCGCCGGACGACACATCTGTCGCTGCTGATGCCCAGGCCGGACATGGTGAGCTGTCCGGCGCGACGGGCCTCGTTGAGCTCGACCCGTTGACGCTGACGTCGCGCACGGACGCCACAGTTGATCGTGACATCATGCAGGACCCGATGCTGGTAGAGCTCGCGGCTTCACTCGCTAGCAGTCGGGTCGTCACGTGGCCTCCACTGGTCACCCAGCTGGAGGACGAGGCCCTGGCGGTGGTCACCTGTGTTTGCACGCAGACGCTGTCCCAGCATGCCGACTCGACGTGTCTGACACCACCCCCGCGCCCCGCCTCGGCCTCGGTGTCACCTCAGCAGGGGCACTCACAGGTCACGCCAAAGCGGTTGGTGTTCGACGACCCCTCGGGCTTTGATGCGCCCACAGTGGGCGAAGAGGGCTACCCACGCTTCGGTCCGGTGCAGATAGACCCAAGTACGCCGCCGGGAGACACCCATCAGACAGTTGACGACGGCGCCTCCTTCAAGCGTCGCCTCGACAACTTCACCAAGGCAGTGGTGTGTAAGAGGGACTTTCCGCTGATTCGTGAGCCTCCCAAGCAGCCGCTTGCTAAGTCAGTGCTGCCGTGGCGGAGTAGGCAGTTGGCGGCTTAGAGCCTGTCCCGAGTACCTACTTCTAAGCGAGATGAGGTACTGATCATGCAGCGTATTGGCTACATCAAAGGCCCATCAGCGTCGGAGGTGGAGGCCTTTGACAAGCTCTTCGACGGCAACCTGACCGTGTCGGAGGCCGAGGTGATGGACGTGCTCTTCCCGGCCATTGGAAAGGGCCCGTCCAGGCAGCTGCGAAGACGTAAGGCCACCTCCTAGGTCGCACCGCTGCTCGGTTTTGTTTGTTTCCTTTATGTAATATCGAAACAAGAGGTATTTTGCTAGGATGGTCCAGCTACGGCTATGTTAGGTTGACCTCCTTCGGTGCTCGACAGAAGTGCGTTGTATGTTTGTTTAAGCTCTTCTACTTAATACAATGATACGCAAATCTTTTACGTATTCGAGAAGAAAAAAAACCATGAATTAGTGTAGAAAGGCTGAAAGCAATAGTACGGGCCTGATCCAGATCATAGTGCCCAATGCAAGTATATCGATTACTGCCAACAACTTATTACAGGAGCACTACATGTTCAATTCCCATGTTGGACAAGCCCCACTGTTGCAAATTAATCTGCCCACTGGCATCTTGCTACGGACTCCACTGCACACTGTCTTCACCACATGGCCGATGCAGCAAGCAGCATGCATGCTCATGCTCTACGCCTCTAGCCCGAACTCTGAGACGACCGTGCTCGCTAGCGTCGCGTGCCGCCGCTGGACCAGGGCATCCGCCGCGGAAATTATGGGCGTGCCAGCGTGGCTACAGGCCCACCCACTGCATGATTCCCTGCCGCGACGCTTCAGATCGGTGTCCAAGCAGGCAGAAGCAAGCGTCGCCATAAACTCTGCCTCGCCTAATCCGGGTACACCCGCGCGTGGCGCGCCCATCAGGCCGGATCGGGGCCAGCCATTCCCCTCGCCCCTCGGTGAACCTGAACCTCTTCGTCGTGGTCTCGTGGAACGGGGACGCGACAGCGCGTTGATGCGTCGTCCAGCTCACTGTTGTTCTGGCCTGTCCGCCTGTGTGCGGATGACTCCTGATCGACCTTTTTTCGTGTGCGCGGCAACTTGGGCGCCAGCACGGGGACGCCGGGACGGGGCGGCTGTTTGGGCGCATCTCTGTTTGGAGCTTTCCTGTGTCTTCAGTTTTTGCTAAGTGCAGACTAGCGCATTTGCGAACAGAAAGCGGTTTTGGGGCGACGTCCCTTTTGCCTTGAAGTGATTTCAGCAACATGAACTACTCTGAGCTTGTTTCAGCTTATTCTCCCTCACATAACACTATTAAATCAGTCGAAATCAGCCGAAATCCACTGTGCACTGGATCAGCCGAACACGCACGGTCCAGTTGCTTCTTCACAGAACGAAAGAAGGCCACGGAGTCTTCTTTTTCCTGCACAGTGGCCAGTGACTGCGCGCCCCATGGGTTCCATGCCTGAACCCTGAAAAATAAGTGAATGATCTCAGGGTGTTGAATTTTTTTCAGGCGAAGCGAAGGCACACACACGCATCCACTGGTGTATTCATAACTGTTGTGATGGTGATGAGGATCAACTTGATCCGGTGAAGGGTACCAGGCCGTCCTTTTTCAGGGCGCGTCCGTGCAAAGGAAAAATTTGAAGTAGCAATGGCCGATGCATGCATCGTTGCGTCACATGCATTTCCTTGGGTGCCCATCATGTCCTGTCATGTTGGTTGCTCACGAGAACAAGCAACGCACGTAGTGGACGGAAAGCCAGAAACATATGTTAGCTGTGAGCATACGCACAGTTGAAATGACGTGAAAATGAAATCCAAATGATCGATAGCAGAGACAAAGCTGCTGTACCTTCGAGTCGAGGATCTCTATCCTGAATCATGGAGCCAGGGGGTGTTTAGTTCCTCCAGATTCCAGAATTTGACATTACGCAAAAAGAAGATTCACCGTCACATCAAACTTGTGGTACATGCATGGAGTACTAAATGTTGACGAAATCAAAAACTAATTGCACAGTTTGGTTGTACTTTGCGGGACGAACGTTTTGAGCCTAATTAGTCAACATTTGAACAATTATTACCAAATAAAAACAAAACGTCACTGTAGCTACAGTGTAGCTACAGTGAATCTGCCGCCACCAACTCTGCCCAACTAAACGAGGGCCAAGTGATCCTGGAAAGGAATCATCTTCCAGTGGAGGGAGAGCCTGAGAAAGCATGTGATGCTGCTCTGTCACACCACCGCGTCGTACAGTAGATACTATTCAAACCTAAAGATAATTCTCTCAAAGAAAAATAATGTCTACGTGCTAAGGCACGTTTAAAAAAAAAAATACTGCCATACTGTTCAAACCAATGCTCCAGTTTCAATCACCAGAGACAATGGTACAGCTAGCACGAATTGGACATGTTAAACTCAAGCTCAGTCTAGCTGAGACAAGAACCGACTGTACATTCAGAATGTGGATCAGCCAGATTGACATTACTTCACATGACTGTGGGGCTTCCGGAGCTAACTACAAGCCCTGAATTATGTAACAGCTATACACTTCCACACATACATGATACAACCAATGAAGTGATCAGCTGACTGGATCTCGTTACAAGCAGCAAACCAACTGTTCACTTGATCGTTTCGGTGGCTTATAAGCCGTCTGATGCTGTTTTGTTGTGAGAGAAAAACACTGTATCATAGCTGATAAGCATAACTGATACAATCAAGTGAACAGAGTGTAATTGCCACGTCAGGAAGCAGAAAAAAAGAAAAGACTTCTTATGTACAGATCAATTCACACCAAAACCTCAAGTGGTTAATTCTCCCTGCACTCACATTGGCTGTGCCGCTGAGCATTTAGATACAACTCATCTACCAGCTATACACTTCCACACATACAATCAATGAAGTGATCAGCTGACTGTATCTCGTTACAAGCAGCAAACCAAACTGCCACGTCAGGAAACAGAAAAAAAAAAGAAAAGGCCTTTCTTCTGTACAGACCAATTCACACCAAAACCTCAAGTGGTTAGTTCTCCCATCACTCAGCATTGGCTGTGCCGCTAAGCATTTAGATACAACTCATCTACATCCCAATACAACTTACATGGACACCTAAACCTATGATACCTCAAGTGGCTCGCAACAAGAACTGGCCGATCTACTGACAGCATCCTCCACTTTGGCTTGCATTCTCCTGCTTCTGTTTCAGAGTGTTCCTCTTAACAACCGAAGAACCTTCCTCCACGAGACTGGGAACTTCAAGAATCTGTACACCAGCACAAGAAATTTACATTTTGCCTAAAGTAGGGAAGAAAATTTGTTGTATAACAAGAAAACGTAACAGAGACTATTTCCACCACCAGGCAAATGATGTGCAAATATGTTTTGAGAAAATGCTAATCTGACATTTAAGCTGCTAATAAAATTGAATAAAACTAATGGCTTCTGATGAGAAGACCATATGTTGAGGAGCTAAATGAGTTTCCTAGCATAACTCTTTTCACGTATTGGAGCTGTTTTCCTGTGTGTATGTCTGCAGAAGAACCTTGTTGACCAATGCAACAAATCTGTGGGTTCTCTCAAACAATGCTGTGGGCAGAAAGCAGTGCATCTCCATGCTTCAAAGCTATAGCTCATGCACCCATGTGTCTATGCAGCATAACCCACATTTTTAATATGCAAATGGTACTCTGTGTAGCTGAAGACATAAGCAAAGCACCAGCAATCATGTGGAAGGTTTGCACACTGGCACTAGCACCCACAAGAAACAATTATAGCACATCTAGTCAAATCATCTGGCAGGTTCCTTAAGTATGGTCCTTGTTGGTGCAACAGTGCTGCGCAGTGCCGACATAAGTAATGCACAATTAATGGACTGCTAGAACCTCAGCAGGTGAGAAACATTTGATACATAACTAATAAATAAATGAGCAAGCTCTGAGAGATATTTTTTAAAATTCTGAGAAATGGAAATTTTCCTAAAAAACAAGGTGGAGAAGAAAAAGGAAAATTTTTAAACATATTGATTCGTATAGATCAATACAGATGACTGGACTTACTGTTAATTTAAAATGGACCTACATTAATTATGCAGACTTGGAGATATCAAGTTACAGTTCATCATGCATAGGAGTTAAGACTTTAATACTCAAAACAGACGTACTCCCTTCGTCCCAAAATAACTGCACATTGCTTTGAGGAGTCAAAGTTTTTTTTATAGTTTGATCAAATATATAGCAAAAGTACTAAACTACTAATATGTATTATGTGTAGTAAGTATCAATAGATTATTCATGACATATTTTCTTAATAAACTTATTTAGGGATAAGAATGCTGATACTGTTTTCTATAAAAATAGTCAAACTTAGAAAAATTTAACTTCTCAAGAAGCGAGATGTGCAGTTATTTTGGGATGGAGGTTGTACATCCTGTGCAAGCTTGGGGCACCTAAGGTCACCCTGCTTTTAAAATAACATAGGAATGGATAACCAGTCTCTGCAAATACGGTGATTATGCAATGAGCATATACGACAAATGTCACAAGCAACGGAAAATTTAGAAATCGCACAACTTTGGGAAGAATATTTGACAACTGAAACGTATGCAGCTAAATCACGGCAGGAGTATTTGTTTATTTTCCTGACTTAACAATAGGATCAGTAGGTAGCATGTCAGTATCTGATAAGCCAGAAGGTGCTACTCAATACAGGAGTATTTGCTTATTTTCCTGACTTAACAATAGGATCAATAGGTAACATGTCAGTATCTGATAAGCCAGAAGGCTGCTACTCAAAACATACTAAGCCAGAAGGCTGCTAACTGAAAACATTAGAAATAGTAAGCTTTAACTTCACCAGTGCTATTGCACATAATTGATTCATAACTTTACAATCTAATTTTCTGGAGCTATTGGAAGGGGGATTTGAATGGTATGAAGGGTAAAGAGATAAGCTTTTGATATCAAGTATCGTTGCGGTTTGTGCAGATATACCTTTAACGCAAGCTCTTCAAAACATTTCTCCACGTTTTCTCTTGTTTTAGCACTACTCTCGACAAAGAGACATCCACATTCTTGTGCAAATGCAAGACCTTCTTCTTTTGTCACCATTCTATCCTCATCCTATACAAGATAAAAATCATCAAACCCACAGAGCTATGTGCAGTTGTTTCATCTGGTATATTTATTCTTGAAAACCAATCTACAGATACCAACAATATGTTACAACAGTCAACAAATATTACCTATCACGCTCAAGTGATTCATGCAGCGGATCATAAAAAGATCAAACATGCGATCAGTAGAATAATGAACTACTTTCACTTTGGTAAGGAAGCATTAAAATACAGAAATGGAACAATGTTCAAGTGAAAAAATAATTTGACTTAGGAAAGAAATAATATACCTTGTCCACTTTATTTCCAACAAGCATTTTGACGCATTCCTTATTTGTTGAGTGTAACTCTATTTCCTTGGTCCACACATCAGCCAAATTTGCGAAACTCTCCCTTTTTGTAACGTCATAAACTACCAGAACAAGACATTACCAAGTTAATATTCTTTTAAGTCACCCTGCAACATTTTCTGAATCACAGAAATGAATGATGATTACAAGGATCATACACACTAAAATGCTTCGTTGAAATTTTGTTGATACTATTCATAACATTGCGTTTCAGCATTAATCTCAGAAGTTAACCACATATTCAGTTCCCAAATACAACCACAAATGATTAGTTTTTTTTCCCTGAGACGAAGCTCAACCCCATCTCCATTATCCTTAATAATGGAAATACATGAGTTTAGTTTACCAAGAACTAGAGAAATAAAGTGAGGGGGCAGACAGAAGATATGTAATAAATTTGACCACATATGCCAAGGCTAATCTACCTGATTCAAGTGAGAGGCGATGACCTGCAGATACCGATGGTAAACCCCAGACTACCACTTGTGACAAAAAGTACAAAATGCTTAGCTGATACATTATCGAAGTGAGGCACCACGCAAGATGTGAGATTATTTAATGATCTGGCGAAGACATAGGAAAGATCACTATACTGGAAAGGGTGCACCCATACGGTGGGTAACCTTGAGAAGTTAAGACAACAGGGATCAAGTAAATTGAGGTGTTTAAAACAAATAAAATTATGGTACAAAGCCACTAAGATGTGGCACAGCAAGATCCTAGATAGCAACATGCTTTGAGGGATCATCTTGAAATTTGATAGCCTCTTCAGTTTCATGTATATATAAAAAAAAACAGCTCCAATGACCATAAAAATTCCACCGGATTGGAGCATGAACACAATTCAAAAGGTAAACCTGATTAGCATTTTATGGCATGACCTGAGCTCAACAGACAGTACCATTGGCTGGAAAATGGGCATAAAAATACTTTAAACTCTAAGGTAAGAAAATGATAAACGGTTGAAGATTCTTAATCCATAGTGAACTGTCATATATGTATCTTGAAAGAGATCAAGTTACCTAGAATAATCCCATGAGCACCCCTGTAATAAGAGCTGGTAATTGTTCTGAACCTCTCCTGGCCGGCTGCAAAATAGTGCAAAAAGAATTTATAGAGCACTTGAACAGTGAAACCGTTGCCCCAACTAACAAAAGTGTTAAGGCCATTATCAGAAACAGGAAAAAGAACCTTACCAGTGTCCCATATTGTCAGTTTCAGTTTCTTCCCACCCACACTGAGAAATTTGATTTTAAAATCCACCCCTACAAAAAGGAGTAGAAAAAAAGTTAAGTTCAAAAAAGCAGGTATTTGGTTGATAAGCAACTTATACAATAACAATAATAATGTCAGAATTCAAATGCCTCTTTGAGAAGAAAATGATCAAGGGCTGCTATGACTGGATGCCCTTAATGGCTAAAATTGTACTGTTATATCAAATCGAAGGGGTTTTTCTAACATGGTTGTTTGAGCTATACATTATAAAGAGCATTTATTGAACTATGTAGAATTATCATTATTTACTAGATAATTAAGGTGCAGCCACAACTTGTATTGGCAGGATAAAAAAAGTTAGGACAGAAGAAAGCCAACCAATCAACGGTAGATTAAAAGTTTATAATCTTTTTTGGGGAAGGTTAAAAGCTGTTAGAATCATAGGTAGAAATAAGATTCATAAACCTCAAGTGATAAACCTCTATGCAGAGTGAAGATATAGGAGGTTTACACATTATCAACTACAAAAGCATTTCAAAGTTTTCACCATAGTTAAAAAAAAAAGACATCAAACATGCACTCTCGTGCTGCCCACAATGCTTGCTTTTGGAAACTTAGAAACAGTCAGTTTTATTTTTCTCGTCTGCCGCCTGCCGGTAACGTGAGTGCTTAGTGCCTCATTTCAGGCTTTGATCAATAGAGAGTGCACAGAAAAATTTGGTAGCACCTGTCTACCGCAAATCACTAAATTGAGAAGATGGCACAATCCCCTGCGTCCCTAAACTTCAATTTTAGAATTATCCCGAATTTCCTGATTGCAAGCCTCCAATAAAAGAGCAGGTTGTGTGCATGGTCGCTGATTCCACCCGGACCATACTTCCAGTCCAATTCATCTTCCGGCGCTTGTTCCTTGAGCTTCAGGTTATGACAGATAGAGTTGCCTCCAACGATAGCATTGGAAACACATACGCAGATGCAACCAGAGAAGTATCTTAGCCTTAGTTTCTGCTAATGGGCAACGCCTGGGCACAGAAAATCAACTTCCACAAACGAACGTTGTGGTGATCCCTTCACCCCGTCCCAAAAATTGCAAGAGCATTTGACAACGAACGTAATTACGTTACTGTATTATTACTCTACTCTACTAACAGCAACGCGGCCCAGTAGTAACCAGTTCTCCGCTTGGGACAAAAAGAAAAAATCTATTGCTGTCGTGTCGTGTTCCGTAATCGAGACAAACAAGCCGCCACGCTTGGCAGTTCGCACAGGAGTCACGCAGCGGCGAGATCCACCGGGGTATAGGAGGAGCGGATGCGCACGTACCTATGGTTGGCGCGATGTCGTCGTCGATGTGGGCCGCGGAGACGAAGCTGACGAGGAGGCTGCTCTTGCCGACGGCCGAGTCCCCGATGAGCAGGACCTTGAAGGAGCAGTCGTAGCTGCTCGCGGGCGACGAGGCCATGCCTCCGACCAAAGCCTGGATCGAATCGCGCGCAAAGCGAAGCGAGGCACCCGGGAATGCGGGGGGCGGGTGGGTTGGTGCGGGAAGGTGGCCGAGCGCCGATAGGAATAAAGGGAGCGAGGAAGGAGGGAGGGGGAAGGCGAAGCGAAACGCGAAAGCGAAACGGGGTGGCGAGGAGGCGGGCGGCGTCAGGTGGACTCCTCCTTTCAGTTACGGTTGACGGCCTGCGCGGCGGACAGCGGCGAGGGGTCACGGCCACATGGCGCGCGTGGGGGTGTTGGAGCGGAGCGAAGCACCGCGCAGCCTCGCTCGCGCTTCGGCTTGTCCTGGCGTGGCGCCGAATTGCCGAAACACGCGGGGCATCTGTGTGCGTGTCCCTCCGACACTACCGTTTCTTAAGAGAAATTTATATACTCCCTCCGGACAGCTTTCTTAGGCGTGACAAGATGAATCTCGAATACTAAGGGCACGTACAACGGTCAATCTTTTCCCGTCTGGGAGATGTCATTTTTGCAAAAGACCCCTTGACTCACCCAACAGACGGGTGTGCCGTCTCTTCGCGAAGAGACGACGAGGGCTCGTGCTCCCAAGCTATATCGCCCGCTCTAGCACCGTTGTACGACGGGGGCTCGTGCTACCAAGCCATTTTTTATCACCTTAATTTATGAGTCTATACAAAAATTAATTATCTTGCAGATAGCCTAAAAGACAACCCATTGTATAATTTGTCTATATTGCTGTCTATATATGATATGACCCGTGCTTGCAGACGACAGCCGTCTAAACTGTTGAACGTGCCCTAAGGAGGAGAGAATGCGTGGCTGGATACACTTAAAATAAAAAATGACACTAAAATTAAGTGTACCCATGTGTCTCTCTGTTGCTCGGTTCCAACCAACATAAAATAAAAAATGACACTAAAATTGAAAACCGAGAAAATAAACTTTGGCTTAGTTCTGTTCAGTTTGGCTTTTGATTTTTTTTCCTTCAGCTTAAATGCACCCAGCCTTACTCAATTCACGTGCCTTTCGAAATGTAACCCAGGGCCTCCATGTTCTTTTGAATAGGAGATTTTCTCTCTTTTATGTCTTTTCCATTTTATTTCTCCAGCCTCTTTTCTTTTAGAAGGCATCTAAGAAGACCAAAATAGCCCTAGCATCAATCTCTCTCCTCCCAGCTTGTTGATTAAGGTCGGGTGATGCTATTGTCCATCCTCGCCCAAAGTCACCCCTTCGATGCCGAGATCTCTCCCTGTCCAATGCCAGCGCTTGGATGCCCTACACACGCAGTTAGAAGCAAGTCGGGCCATCATCAACGTTCTCTCCTCTAGGCCAGTGGCGCCATCATCGGTCAAACAACATGGGGGAGTGGGGCGCCGAGGCGGACCAATGGCGTTGGGCGTGGTGCTGAGTCGCATTGCACCTCGATTCTGGTGTGCGGTGATGTGCGCCATCAGATTGGAGTACCGAAGTCGGGTGAGGCGACCAAGGCTAGCGACGAGTCTGGCGTGCAATGACGGTGGCGTCAGGCATGGGCTATGTTGGGCAGTGGCGCTGGAGTCGAGTGGGGTGGCATTAGGCAGCGTGGGGGCGTCAGTGTCTGTGGTGAGGCGACGTCGGTGCGGGGTGACGTAGTCATTAGACAGAGGAATCGAGTAGTACGCTAGAGCTCGCCACAGGTGCACGACTGCGGTTGCTCGACGTCGCAGTTGCGTCTTGACCTAACGCACAGCCTCGCTGGAGCGCTCCTCGCTAGCTCGCATCGTCGTCCGTTGCCACATCGCCAGCTCATGCTCGCCGTCGCTGCCTCGTGCACGGCATTACTTAGCACTATTCACTAGCCGTTGCAGCCCCACTCTCCAACTCGCTTAGGCAGATCACGGTGCCTAGCTTCATCACCATCGTCCCGCCGCGTCGCGCTTGCGCAGCCATGGCGCCCCCTGCCGATGCGGAACCCAGAAGCCGAAGAGACGGGAGCGAATAGGATAGAGGCCGCGGCTTCTGACTCGTGAGGGTGGGTGGGTGCATGGTCCATGGGGTGTATCCCTGTTCTTTTGGACAAGGTGGGCTGAATAGCCGCTCAGGCCTCTGAGATCTCGGTTGTGTCCATAACATCCACCGGGTCTCTCAGTTGCTCGGTTCCAACCTCCACAAAATAAAAAATGACACTAAAACTGAAAACCGAGAAAATAAACTTTGGCTTGGTTCTGTTCGATTTGGCTTGATTTTTGTTCCTTCAGCTTAAATGCACCCAGCCTTACTCAATTCACGTGCCTTTCAAAATGTAACCCAGGACCTCCATGTTCTTTTAAATAGGAGATTTTCTCTCTTTTATGTCTTTTCCATTTTATTTCTCCAGCCTCTTTTCTTTTAGAAGGCATCTAAGAAGACCAAAATAGCCCTAGCATCAATCTCTCTCCTCCCAGCTTGTTGATTAAGGTCGCGTGATGCTATTGTCCATCCTCGCCCAAAGTCACCCCTTCGACGCCGAGATCTCTCCCCGTCCAATGCCAACGCTTGGATGCCCTACACACGCAGTTAGAAGCATGTCGGGCCATCGTCGACGTTCTCTCCTCTAGGCCAGTGGCGCCATCATCGGTCAAACAACATGGGGGAGTGGGGCGCTGAGGCGGACCAATGGCGTTGGGCGTGGTGCTGAGCCGCACTAGACCTCGATTCTGGTTTGCGGGGATGTGCGCCATCAGATTGGAGTACCGAAGTCGGGTGAGGCGACCAAGGCTAGCAGCGAGTCTGGCGTGCAATGACTATGGCGTCAGGCATGGGCTATCGCTGGGCAGTGGTGCTGGAGTCGACTGGGGTGGCATTAGGCAGTGTGGGGGCGTCAGTGTCTGTGGTGAGGCAACGTCGGTGCGGGGTGCCATAGTCGTTAGACAGAGGAATCGAGTAGTTGGCTAGAGCTCGCCACAGGTGCACGACTGCGGTTGCTCAACATCGCAGCTGCGTCTTGGCCTAACGCACAGCCTCACTGGAGCGCTCCTCGCCAGCTCGCCTCGTCGTCCGTTGCCACATCGCCAGCTCACGCTCGCCGTCGCTGCCTCGTGCACAGCATTACTTAGCGCTATTCACCAGCCATTGTAGCCCCACTCTCCAACTCGCTTAGGCAGATGACGGTGCCTAGCATCATCGCCATCGTCCCGCCGCGTCGTGCTTGCGCAGCCATGGCGCCCCCTGCCGATGCGGAACCCAGAAGCCGAAGAGACGGGAGCGAATAGGATAGAGGCTGCGGCTTCTGACTCGCAAGGGTGGGTGGGTGCATGGTCCATGGGGTGCATCCCCATTCTTTTGGACAAGGTGGGCTGAATAGCCACTCAGGCCTCTGAGATCTCGGTTGTGTCCATAACATCCACTAGGTCTCTCAGTTGCTCGGTTCCAACCTCCACAAAATAAAAAATGACACTAAAACAGAAAACCGAGAAAATAAACTTTGGCTTGGTTCCATTCGGTTTGGCTTGATTTTTGTTCCTTCAGCTTAAATGCACCCAGCCTTACTCAATTCACGTGCATTTCGAAATGTAACCCTGGACCTCCATGTTCTTTTGAATAGGAGATTTCTGTCTTTTATGTCTTTTCCATTTTATTTCTCCAGCCTCTTTTCTTTTAGAACGCATCTAAGAAGACCAAAATAGCCCTAGCATCAATCTCTCTCCTCCCGGCTTGTTGATTAAGGTCGCGTGATGCTATTGTCCATCCTCGCCCAAAGTCACCCTTTCGACGCCGAGATCTCTCCCCGTCCAATGCCAGCGCTTGGATGCCCTACACACGCAGTTAGAAGCAAGCCGGGCCATCGTCGACGTTCTCTCCTCTAGGCCAATGGCGCCATCATCGGTCAAACAACATGGGGGAGTGGGGCGCTGAGGCGGACCAATGGCGTTGGGCGTGGTGCTGAGCCGCACTGGACCTCGATTCTGGTGTGCGGTGATGTGCGCCATCAGATTGGAGTACCGAAGTCGGGTGAGGCGACCAAGGCTAGCGGCGAGTCTGGCGTGCAATGACAGTGGTGTCAGGCATGGGCTATCATTGGGCTGTGGCGCTGGAGTCGAGTGGGGTGGCATTAGGCAGTGTGGGGGCATCAGTGTCTGTGGTGAGGCAACGTCGGTGCGGGGTGTTGTAATCATTAGACAGAGGAATCAAGTAGTTCGCTAGAGCTCGCCACAGGTGCACGGCTGCGGTTGCTCGACGTCGCAGCTGCGTCTTGGCCTAACGCATAACCTCGCTGGAGCGCTCCTCGCCAGCTCGCCTCGTCATCCGTTGCCACATCGCCAGCTCACGCTCGTCGTCGCTGCCTCGTGCACGGCCTTACTTAGCACTATTCACCAGCCATTGCAGCCCCACTCTCCAACTCGCTTAGGCAGATCACGGTGCCTAGCATCATCGCCATCGTCCCGCCGCATCGCGCTTGCGTAGCCATGGCACCCCCTGCCGATGCGGAACCCAGAAGCTGAAAAGACGGGAGCGAATAGGATAGAGGCTGTGGCTTCTGACTCACGAGGGTGGGTGGGTGCATGGTCTATGGGGTGCATCCCCATTCTTTTGGACAAGGTGGGCAGAATAGCCGCTCAGGCCTCTGAGATCTCGGTTGTGTCCATAACATCCACCAGGTCTCTCTGTTGCTCGGTTCCAACCTCCACAAAAAAAAAATGTCACTAAAACTGAAAACCTTGAAAATAAACTTTGGCTTGGTTCTATTCGGTTTTGCTTTATTTTTGTTCCTTCAGCTTAAATGCACCCAACCTTACTCAATTCACGTGCCTTTTGAAATGTAACCCTAGACCTCCATGTTCTTTTGAATAGGAGATTTTCTCTCTTTTATGTCTTTTCTATTTTATTTCTCCAGCCTCTTTTCTTTTAGAAGGCATCTAAGAAGACTAAAATAGCCCTAGCATCAATCTCTCTCCTCACAGCTTGTTGATTAAGGTCGGGTGATGCTATTGTCCATCCTCGCTGAAAGGGGACCGTGATGCCTAAGAGGGGGGGTGAATT